GAATTTAAAGACATCACGTTTGCCTACTATATACACACATTGTCTAATACTGATCTGAGTGAATTAGAAACACTTGGCCCCGCCTGGAGCCAAACCGAACAGTTTTGAACAGTGTGAAGAGTTATACAGAGTTTATCAACACACGGCGGCGCACGATCCCTCGGAACACACCTTGAGAATATCAATGTCGGGACGCGTCGGGTAGGCAAACGTGATGTCTTTAAATTCAACCACACCGGCGCACGTGTCTGGAGCCTCTGTGCCCTCTGCCAGGTGTTTGGGTTTCCTGTCCAGGTACTCGAAAACTTTCTCGGCAGCCCCAACTCCCTGCATGAGGCCCGTGTACACCGATGCAATGCTCTGGAAGATGAAACCGCACACACCGTCAGTTAGAGGGGATTCGTGGCTTCAGACACGTGTGAAAGAAATGAATAAAACGGATGAAATACCTCCAGACATTCCCCCAGTTCGAGCATGTATATGAAAAACGATATCAAGGCACCGCCACTCATCTGACCGGTTACTACAAGATGGCCGCCGTAGTAGAGGATAGCAACCTCTAAAGCAAGCTCAGAGATCTGAAAAAAAAAAAACCACAAGCCCACACTGTGACACGCAGGTATGAATGAATCACTAGTATTTGTACAGATTTGGAGCTCTACGTCTTCGTCCAAAGGGGCCGACCGCCGATACCTACCGAACTGGACCACATGTAGCCAGCGTAGGCCAGGGCTTGTTTTTTGTTGAGCTGGAACATGACCAACAGCTTGCCGTAGTAGGAGTCGGCCTCCTCGCCCTCGTTGGCAAAGCTCCGCACCGTCCTCATGGCCGATATGGTCTCCTCCGCCACCTTATTGGCCTCCGCGAGGACCGTTTGCACCTCTTTTGTCAATTTCTGAAAAAAAAAAAAAAAAAAAGTCACAAATAGAACTTTGAATTTGATTTCATCTGCCAATGAAACGCAGACGTAAAAAAAATCTCCTTCACCTTATAGTAATCGCCATAAAATTTGGAGACGAGGCTGAGGAAAGGGAAGCCCATGACGGCCACCAGCGTGAGCTTCCAGGAAATCCCGAACATGAAGATAGAGAAGCCGGCTCCCTTGACCACGCTCCGCAGGAAGATGTTGACATTCACAGAGATGAGGTCGCTCACTTGGGTGGTGTCGGCCGACAGGCGTGAAATTATGTCACCTGCAGGGTGATGCGGGCAGGTAACAACATTAAAAGAGCATCCCTTTTGTCGGAGAAGCCCCGCCCCCTGCGGCATACAGGGGGAGAAATCAATAATACAGGAGGGGTGGATGTATAGTGTTCGTATATCACCTGTATGGTTTTCATCGAAAAAGGCAATTTCCTGCCTCATCAGAGTTCTAAAGAGATGGTTCCTGAGCCGGAGGTTTAACTTGCCGAACATCAGGGTAAAGACTCCTCCGCGTACCCCCATCGCCAGAGAACTGAGGAGAGGGTGAAGGTGTCGTATGGCATTCCTGTCTGGTTTGGCATAAGGGACGTCACGGCTATCAATCTAGTGGAGCGGCTTAGCCACATGTCATTATATATCATCACGCTCTCCTTCCTGACCCCCCCTCCTCTGTGTGCTACCCAACAATGTCAAAATGCCAAAGCAATTATAAATTCTGTTACGATAAAGAAAACAGTCGAATCCTAGTTTGCGATACTTTGGTGTAAACAAATACCCGTGTCACCTTTTGTTGATCTGTAAGTGTCTCTCTCAGGCAACTTGTTTTAGTTTGAAAATGCACACAATGCTCAACATCAAAAGTCGGGATGTTCCGATATCAGGTTTTCACTACACGATTATTGCGATATCTATAGAAAATGTGCAAAATAAAAATATTATAAAGCTATCAGTCAAATTAATTAGATTAAAAATAAAAGTGCAGGGAGGTGGAGAAAGTCTGTAACTGTATGTATAAAATGATTTAAAGGGCCAGTGTGTCAGATTTGGCACCATCTAGTGGCGAGGTTGCAGATTGCAACCAAACTGAAAACTTCTTGCGTGTGCCAAGCTCATTGGAGAACTACGGTGGCCGACACAAAAAACACGTTTGTTTTGGCTGTTCTGGGCTTCCGTAGCACACGGTGGTGCAACATGGAGGACTCTGCGAAGAGGACTCGCTCCCTATGTAGTCATAAATGGCTCATTCTAAAAGGGAACAAAAACACAATGATTATTATTTCCCGGCAATTAATCACCAAAGTAAACATTATTATATTATTATATTTCTGTCAACAAATTCCCCCCCCGAAATGCTGCACACTGGGCCTTTAAGAGAAGAAGCTCCGATTATGGGCACAATATTATCAAATGTGAGTTACTAACATGATATCAATATTTGATTTCTTAAACAACCTTCGGATACTCACCTGGCTAAGGCCAGCATTGCCAGTATGATCACAGGCTTAGCTAAGTACTCCATGCTCTGGTGAACCACGATGCCGTCTATTGCTTCCCCATAGTAGTAAGGTATGAAGGCCTCACCTGCAGGTTCAAAGAGAGAGGGGCCCAAATGTAATGGAAGGGCCGTCCACACACACACACACGTTTTGGGGTCTTTGTGGAACTGACTATTCGTACGTGGAATGAGCTTTCCTACTGGTCAATTATTAAGATGCTTCAGGACAACTTAAACAATCATAACCTCTGATGTTCAATACAATTAGGTTAAACGTCAGGCTGAAACAACAAGTCACTTAATCAATTGCTTAATTGACAAAAAAATGAATCGTCAACCATTTTTTTTTTTTGGTCGTTTTATGTGAGAGAGAGAGAGAGAGAGAGAGAGAGAGAGAGAGAGAGATATATCTCTTGAGAAGAAAAAAAACTAATTCTGAAAAAAAGCCAGCTTGGGATCTAGGAGAATGTCCCTTACATTGACATTTATTCTATTTTTCTTTATCCAAATGATTAATTGATAAAATAACACAGACTAAGAATAATAAAAGTTAAAAAGTAATGAAAGTAAGTTGCAGATATTGTTAAAAGGCTTATAATGTACTCTGTTAGGGAGTCGCATTGAGGGCGAGGTGACATTTTATGGAGCACCGAAATAAGGAGGGAAAATAAAAGCAGTTGAATGCTTTAATTTTGACATTGAACTCCTGATGAGACCAGGAGCTAAGTGTTGTGTAATCTGGAATGAGTAACAGTCATTACGTGTGGGCTCAGTACTCAGCTGTTGAGCTATTGCACATCCTGAGATCGGACGGGTTAATGCTACTACGTCGAGGACACTCACACACGGCAGAGATGAGGAGGAAGAGGACGGCTACAGACAGCAGCCTGCCATCCTTCCTGCAGTAGGTCAGCAGACGTCCGAGTGTCGCCCCAGAGCCGATCTTCTCCTGGCTTGTCCCCTTCTCCTCTTCCTCCTTCATCTTCCTCTCACAGCCAACCTCCTGCTCCTCCTCACCAGCTGCCCCCAGCAGCCTTTCAGTGTCCTTACAGCCCCGTCCTCCCCTACCGCTGCTGCTGCCACCGTTGGGACTAAACTGGGACTCCTTCCCCAGCAGTCTCCAGAGCAGCACGACACACAGAGAGGAGGCGCAAGTCCAACATATCAGGCTCAGGGACCAGGGCCGGTGGGTGAGAGGCTCCAGCTCAGTCAGCATCAGCAACTTAGTCAGGGCGTAGGTGATGAGGATCAGGGAGATGAAGACGACGGGGGTGGAGAGTTTGGCGACCCTCTGCGGGCCGTCCCGTCTATTCCACGAGACCCCTATGGAGGCTCCCAGCAGGAGGGAGGCTCTGAGCAGCACAGTCCCCCAGAGGTCCAATGCCGACTGGAGAATGTGTAAATTCAGGACCTCCTTTTTGAACACGCCCAAGTGTGATCCGTGTGTGTACAGGACCGTGGTGACAATCACGTCCAGCAGGACGTACAACACGGTGCAGCTCACAGCTACTTTGACGCCCATGCTGATAATCAGGACAGAGTTACACACAAAGTTATCACAAGCACTACAGGTGTTCAACTAGTCCAGGTAATAACAACTCCACTTCAAGTGGACACAATGAAAAACACTGCCCGAAATAATTTATTGTAAAATCCCACGGAAGAAGCTGAAATGACAAAACCAAATAGTAATATTTTGATTATTGATTTACACTTACTTTTATTCTGAAGGGTGCACTTCCGGTCTTGACTGGCTCTTTAAAGGGGGGCAAAATACGAGGTAGTCCTACAATAAGAAGTTAAACGTGAGACGTCACTGAGCTGTCAATGATTGTCCAGTAAATGTTGCACTAGCTTACATCATTAGCTACCTAGCTACGTAAGTAACGTTACAGGGTTACAAACGTTCTTAAAGCCCTTACTGTCCAGCCAGGTGTCCACGTGAACATAAAATCAATATAGTCTCTCTAATCACTACAGATACACAGCAACGTACACGGGGTTCCCCCTAAGAGACGGCATCCACCTGTAAAACTGCGTCAAGTTAGGTTTGAGAGAGAGGGAACCGACATTGGAGTCAAGAAGTGGACACCGGTATCAAAGATCGTCTCTGCTACAAGAGGTTTACGACTTGGCAGCGCTGACAGCCACGTGTATCTGTGCAGAGGCAGCATAGAAGTACATTACAAATATATCCGCATTAGATGTAAATACAAAGTTGCTCGTGGAATCAGGGAATTCATTGACATTAAAAAAAGAGTTCATACTCTCACATTTTCAGCCAGCGTCCCGATGTGTTTAAAACTAGACTTGACGTTTCACACTTATCCTATAATTTGGAATTCCGCATCCGCTCCGCAAATTTTTAATTGTAATCTGTGTAAAGTGTTCCCGAACACATTCATACAAGTCCCATAAATTAAGAGACGCACTCCAACGAGGTTTAAGTGCATATAAAACGAGGCAGGAGGAAACATCTTTTGTGTTTTACCTCTCTGACCTCAGTTGTTGCGGAAGTAAACGTGTGTAGCCCCTCCCACCAGATATTTTAGTGAGTGTTCAAGAGCACAAATTATGTTACAATTTCCGCAATAGGAGAGGAAAGTGAGGTTCCGTTAAACTCCAGTTAAATACAACAAATGTAATACTGTTATGATATTGGTGTCCAAACGATAGTTTGTCACTATAAACTCATAACAGGGTACTAAAAATAGTACTTTAAGTTCCTGTAGGAGCAATGGAGATTCATAGCATCAATACTGATTGATTAAATGTGAGATTGGATTTCTCAGAAACTACACGGTAAAAGCAGATAATAGTATTTGTGCAAGTGGTCTAAGAAGTACTTAGTCCAAAAATGTAAGGTGAATAAATCACTTATGTAAAAAATGTTTTTTTTATCCCTCGTCAAAGTTTTTATGAAAAGGTTTATTTATATTCTCCAAAAGGAACTTTGACATTGGCTAATTCCAGAGGTACACAGTGAAAGAAGTTCGTAGTATTTGTGCATGTAGTCTAAGTAGTACTAAATCCAAATACTCTGATCCTTAATCGCAACTAATGGAAGTGAAACCACACGCCATTCCCTTACTTTGAAATCCGGACCGGAACATTTCCTTGGTAGTATTTGCGGTAGCTTTAAATTGGCTGAATATATAAAACTGTACAGACGAATCTTCGGTTTGAATAATTAAAGTACCTCTGTTACATTTACTTGTGAGACTATACTCAAAAGTCACTTCGGTCATATCCAACAGTGTTGCAGGAGTGAGTCCTAAGGAACAGTGTATGGGATGTAGGTGGATTTATTAGCAAAAATGTAATATAATATTAATAAGTATGTTTTCATTGTGTGTAATCTATGGAGCCAAATCGAGGCCAATAGTTTTGATCATTTAAAAAAAAAAAATTGAAACTGAAATGCTGTCACTCATGATTACACGCCCCTCTCAGATCAAGGCCAAAAGTCTGAAAGTGAAAAAAAGATTTAAAACTGTAAAGAAATAAGATATGAATCTGAAAACATAAAATCTGCAACTGAAAAATACAAGACCTCAAATATCAAAATATATTTGAAAGTGAAAAATGAAAATAAATATTTGACTCAAAACAATTCCAGAACTGAATCAAAGTTATATTTAACCCCAAAAAACTTTTCCTTAACTTATTTTTAGTTTGAATACATTCAAAATACAACAAAACTATTGGCCCGGATTTGGCTGCAACTTCCCAACCAGATGCCACTGAATCCTATCTAAACCTAATTCTAATCGCGTCATGCGATTAGGATGTTATGAAGCCTCGAGTTTAACGGTTTTGCCGTCGCCGTCTTGGATTACGGCCGTAGCCTCGTTGTCTTTTTCACAACTAATGAAAAGAAGTGACCATATTTGGAATGCGGAAGAGTGACGTAGAGATGGCCTATACGTCTCTGGTAGTGGCTGTGACCTGTCAACCACAGTAGCCCCGCCCTAAAGCATCCCCTGCTTTATGGTCTGTGTGACTCTAAATGGACCATAATGTACTAAATGAACATCATGCTGTATTGAAGAAGACTTGAAACTAGAGATTGAGACCATAAACTCATGTTTACAATGTTTACTGAGGTAATAAATCAAGAGAGAAGTAGAGTCCTTTTCTCATAGACTTCTGTACAATCTGACTTATTTTTGCAACCAGAGGAGTCGCCTCCTGATTCTTGACTCGCACAACTTTTAAACTGGCATCTTATGTGTAATTCATGGCACAATTCAAACAGGATAGAAAAATATATATTTGTCTCTACCGATCATGGATATCTTTTCTGAAAAGGGGCGTGACTTTGACTTCCTATTCGGACTGTTAGGGCTTTCCGTCCACATTGCACCTTTAAAAAGGGTGAACTAAACATTTTGTGACACAAAAAGCACAGCTGTCCCATTCCAAGCTACTATAAGTAATCCAGCCCTCTTAAGGTCTCTCTCTGACGAGACGTTTATCTCCTCCAGCCCCCCACATTTCCTGTTCCTTGCTGAAAATTAGCTAGAGTCTGGTGGATTCAAATGTCAGCTAAACATTCTTTCTGAGAACTCCACTCAGAAAGGAAAACAGTAACATCAGACTCTTTTTAGGTGGCAGGAGTGAAAATTAGTCGTCTTTAACATTTGTTGTGGTCTGGTTTTAGAACGATGAAGACAGTCGGAGAACAATTAGATACAAAATAGGATGTAGGCTCTACAGGAGAATTGAGTCCTACTTAATACCATTACAGAGCTAACAATGACTTTGAAAACATCTTTTATTTTTATTTTCTGACTGCAAACAATTAAATACAAAACATGATGCTGTTGAAGACATTTTAACATTCAACATTGTGTTTTCCTGATACAAACAGAGCACCGTTTTGCAGTGGGGATGTTAAAAATCAGTGAAACAGTTCAAAGAAACTGTTTCAAGCTGCAGGGGACAAAAAAAAACAGTCGAGCAAACCCGCGTCAAGGTTCTGAACCTCAAGGAGTCGAGGAGGACTGAGTCCTTTGTCCAGATATTTCCCAGCTGTTGGGAGGGGCGGAGGGTAAGCTGATTGTTAACTTCTGACTAAGTTCACTTTTTTCTGTGCCGGGATGAGTAGTTTTATTTTATTCTTAGACTGAAATGATGACGTGACAGTGATCTGGTGTCTCCCTGCAATGGACCAATGACGGGACTTTGAAAACCAAAAACCTTTCCTCTCTACTCTCCTCTCTCCTCCCCTCTTCATAAAAATACATACACACAAGAGGAAGTGGAGTTCTAATCTTAAGATAATAAAGGTGAACACATAAATTATCCATTCGTATCAGAAAAAAAATTGAAATGAACATTTACCTTTTATATGGGAGCATTTACACTTGCCCTCCTTCTCTCCTCTCCCCGTTTCCGGTGAGTGTGTGGTGGTGCATGTGTGAGTGGCGCAGAGTTTTGAATTGGTTTCTGTCCCTGTTCTTCAGGTTTTCTACTGTGTTTTATCATCTGTCTTATGTGCATGATCAGGTAAGTCTCTAACTGTTTCAATGAGTTGTGGTCGAGTGATCGGTGCGTTTGTCGATGTGTTTTGGGAGGAATGGCGTCCTCCGAGATGCCACCTCCGTCTATCCGGCAGGGAGTGAGGATAGTCCCGCCGGATAATAGTGTCACCGTGTAGGAGGTTTTGTTGGATAAACTCTCCTTTGCATCAAGAATGAACAAAGCAGTGGTTGTGTTCTTGAAAGAACAGCCTTGTCTCTATCAGCTGATCGAGAGCGGTGTGTTTATCAGGGACACATTTGTGCAGGTCTCCCCGCTGTCAGCTCCCTCCGCACGGATCACTATATCCGGTGTTCTGCCATTTATCCCTAACAAGTTGTTGGAGAACGAGCTCTGGAGGTTTATGAAATTTGCCAGTGGATTAAAAACAGTGAGTTTGGGATGTAAAGATCCCAAACTCAAGCACGTTCAACCTACGGCTGGTGGCCTTTCGGCTGAGCCTGCTGCTGGCGGACCTGTGGCCGGGCTCGCAGCTTGCTTGGTGGCAGATTGCAGTATTGCGGGCTCAGCGGCTGGTGCCACTGGCTCACAGTTCAAGAATAAGGACAAGGTTGAGGAGGAGCTGAGCCCAGCTGAGGACCAACAGGCTTCTCTTGCTGCAGAGAACAGCAGCTCTCAGACTGTAGAATCTGAACTACAACCCCAACCAGCAGAAAATGTGGAGGAAGCAGCTTCCTGAAGTGTTAGAGGCAGAGATCTTACTGTGATCACAAATGAAGAACAGGGTGTTTCTAATAGTCATGTGTCATGTGGAGAATACACGGACTATGACTCTGAGTCCGACACAGTATCTGTTAGCAGAACTTCCAATAGAAACACAGATCTATACCCGTGAGAAGAAATAAACATGTTCACTCTGCATTGACATTGAGAGGCAAGGCCTATCCTACAGCCGGAACCTCGAGCGCTACAGGGAGTATGGCATGCCGTGGCTGGGACCAGTTATGGCCCCACTCCCACCTCACATGGGGAAGGATCAGAAGTTCAAGGTGCTCACCTTCGTCAGTTGTGTGGGCATGCTAATGAACTGGGATTTCATCGCCTTTAAAGAGCTCGGCTCACTGATCCGAGCAATGGGTGTGCCACAGAGTGATCTGCAAAGGCTGCAGGTGCAGTCGCGCTTCCTGATGCCCCAAGTCTTTGGCCTGAGTGTGTGGCGTCTTCACGGTGACATACCACACCGGATGGCGCCACTGCCCCGAGACCTGGTCCTACGGTGGCCAGACCTGAGGACAGTGTTCAGGAGCAGCCGTTCGAGGATGTACAAGCACGCGAGGATGAAGGCACGTGCCAGGCGGTGTGGCGCACCAAAGCAACATGTCTGCCTGTGACATCGAAATCGGCTTGGACCTCGCTTGAGCTAGACCTCATCAACACCTCGGAAGAGGTCAAACTTGCCAAGGCGTACCAGCTCTACTTGGTGGCATGCAAAAGACAAGGGCATTACTGTGAGAACCCACAAAGCCTTCAAGTCGATGCGTTGCAGGATGATGCAGCAGTAGACTTCTGATTTTCTGTTTTGTTCATCATTGTTCTGTTTGAGTGAGAGTTAGTGTTTGTTTTTATTCAGTTTGAGTGTTTAATATTGTTAATAAGGGTGTGTTTAAATCCTCCTGAAGAAGAGGCATTGTTCAGTTCGTTCCACGATTGTTTGGATTTGTTAATGTCCTCCAGAAGAAGAGGCAGTGGAAATACTTTGTTACACAGTATAAAAAAATATATAAAAGAAATAACAAAAAAAACCTCCGCAAAAAACCTCCACAAAAAACCTCCGCATGGACTCTGCCTTGACGTGGCGTGGGGACTTTTAGAACTTGAGAGTCTGAATAGATTGAGAAAAAAAATAGTGCACTGTCCATCACTACCTCACACCATGAAGCTCCTGCCTGTCATAAAGGCCTTTGGGATCCAGATCCTGTCTGCCCGCTGTCTTTGGTGAGTGCTCCA